AACTTATCTTATGTTGGAATTGTGATTGAGCAGTGTAGGGCAGCTATTAGTAGTTTCGTTTATTGTTCGCTCAGTTTTATTTCTAGAACTTTAAATTTACATGCGCATACTCTTGCTAGTTTAGCTTATGATCAGGATCATTCTATGTACTGGGATTTAATCCCTCCTGACTCTATCGTTCAATTTCTGAATTAATATATTGGTACGCCATATTTCAAAAAAAAAAAAAAAAAAAACTACTTGAGGAATTTATTGAAAAGAGAGTATTCAAATCACACAACAAATTGAAGTGAGAACTATCTCGAAATGTCATTGTTTGACAATTAGCAGTTAGCGGTTAGCGTTAGCGGATTTGATCAGCGAATTATATCAACGGTTGGTAAAAAGATATTTGAAATAATTAGCTGTTTAGATTAACATGTAAAATGACCTAAGAGTATACATATATTTAATAATAATAATAGTAATAATACTAATTGTTTTTAAAAAAATATAATTAAGCCAATTATATTAACTACTTGGGAGATTTATTGATAAAAAGAGTATTCAAATCACACAACAAATTGAAGTGGGAAACTACATCGCAATGTCCTTGTTTGGCAATCAGAAATTAGCTCTTCAATGCAGCAACCAGAGGGGAGGAGACAAGCTGTAATATTCTTTACTTATGCGCACGAGAATGTACGGCCTTCCAAGATTTGGTAGTGCAACATGTGCATCGGAACCAGAACTATGCTGCGGACCGCATGGCTGCGGTTTCGCTCCTTCATGCATTGGGGGTACAGGAACAGCTGGAAGTGCCCCGTATCCTCGAGGATGTGTTATGGGAAGACACTGTGGGAGCAACAAACTCCTGCCATAGACGAAATAGCAGACATTAATGTAGCTGGTAGATAATCTCACGGGCTCAACCCTCTTCTGTATCCAAAAAAAAAATATTAAATCTGGGTTCATACGAGTGTGAGGATGCAAGGTGGTATAGGGCTACTCCCATAGTCCCTAACACTAGTGAATATCCACTCCCGTGGTATAAACACCCAATAAAACAAGAACAAGTATCATAAAAAATTTCTAACTACTACCATCTCCCGATGTGCAATAATCAAGAATTAAACTCCCTAACAAAATTACTCTCTCCCAAGGTGCAACAGTTAGGTGCAATTGTGTGTGCCCTAAATTATGCCCAACTCCCGTTGGGACATAAAGATAGCATGCGAGCAAGTAGCTATTGGCCACTAATTACAAGCATCAACAATACAAAATACAATTGCAACACAAGTATTAAACCCAATAAATAATATATTAAAGCATTAAAGAACTAGACACATAGATTCATAAATACTATAACCCAAGAATCTATAAGAAAACTTAACCACGCATGGCTAATATGCAATACATATCAAATATTAAGAGTTTACAATAATATCTAAAGAGTACAAGAATTAAACCAAGCAATTCTCCCAAATCTCCTTGACTTTCTCCTTGCTCCCAAGACAATTTGTAGCTCTCAATTCTCCTCTTTCTTGTCTCCAAAACTAAGTATGAATCTTCTAGGGTTGAACCAAAGCGGGATTTTATAGCGGTACAAAGTTGGGGGCGAAATTGGAATTTCTCTTTCAATTTTGGAACTGCGGCCTTTGATTTTTGGAAAGTGCCACTTTTTATTTTGAGACTTTCCTTTATTTCATGGCATGGGAATCAGCGCCTCTCAATTTGGAATGCTGCAACTTCTTTGAATTCAATTTGGAGACAATCAAATCGGCACCCTTTTATTTTTGCACACAGTGGCATTTGACACGTCAAAAACAACTCGACACGTCAAAAACAACTCGACACGTCGAGTAGTGCTGTACGCGAACCAAAACTTTTTGGAATTTTTGGACTCGTCGAGTCCGATTCTCGATGCGTCCAATCCCCTGTAGCAGCACTTTTGGTCCATTTTGACTCCAAAATTGTCTTAGAACTTCCCTTGCTCTTGTACTTGACCTAAAATGGTTCCAAAAAAACTCACAAACACCGTAAAACATTCAAAACAAGTGTAAACCATAACTAAATGATAAAAAAATGGAGTATGCAATTAAATCACCAAAACTATGAACTTAAGCTTAAGAAATATAATCAAACTAATACTAGAAATGTGCACAATTAGACTCACATCACAACATCAGCATTTGGACTACCTGCAGAGTTATTGTGGTTAGTATCAAGTAAACAAGTTATGAAAATAGAACAAGAGGTGCTACTTATCAACCTTATACAAATATAATAAATATGGAGTAATATTTTATTCAATTCTTCCACATGAAGCATGTAAGGAAAAAACTACCACAGTAAAATATCAACATACGCTTGCAAGATCAAGAGTTCATAGTACAACTAACATTCCAGTCATATACACAACAAGGCAAATCCACAGCTTTCTACACCATAATCTCATTTCATGATGCTGTCATTTATGCTACCACCAGTAATCCCATTGCAAATAACACACTACCAACAAAAAAAAGAAGATGACAAATAGTGAAGATGAAGACAATAACTGTAACACCCCACTTTTCTAAACACTAAATCCCAATTACTTAACTTAACAAGGTAAGCTAAACAAGAATTAAAAGAAAGATTCAAAATTTAAATCAATCAAAACCACCCACGGTGACTGCACAGGCTACTAAAGGAATAAACTAAACAAGTCAAACTTCATTAAAATAACCTTAATACTTGGGGAACAATCCCGGTGTCCAGCACCAACAAAAGAGATCAGTCTAAGTCACTAACCATCAAACATCAAAAGATCAACATCAGTATCTAGTCATCAACAACCAAACAGAAACTATCTAGAATCTAACAACTCAACTACGCACTACAACTAAACTCATGCGCTCTCAGTTACTGGGCCCACCTGAAAGGGGTTATAAAAACAGTAGAAAATAAACCTGTTAACAAATTAATGCTAAGTATAAAACCACTCAACCCTGTAAAGTACTATAGAATATTGATTTTGAAAAAAAAAATCATTGGCAAGCACACATAATCTCAAACACTTTCAACACTTAAACAACAATCTCAACATACTCATCAACAATTCTAGATGCTTGCATCCTATTCAACATATAACAAATCTTTCTCAAGTATTCAACTTAAACACAACTCTCATGCTTCAACAAATAACTCTAAACATAGCTCAACATACAAACTCATGCTTTCAACAGATTATACAAATAATAGTTCAAAAGTAACTCATGCTCAACTCAAGGATGAAGAGATGCTAAATAACTCAACAAACAATCTCATGCTGTCATGCCAAACAATAAGCAACCTTATGCTATCATGCCAACTCAACAATCAGCAACAAAGTATCATACTTCTCATCAAATCCTAAATGCAATCATGCAAGTCATGTAACAATAAAAGACATGATGCTATAAGTATAAGTATATAGCTATACTCTCTCTCATAAAAAGGATTTCTTTTTCTGTGGAGATTTCTGTTGAGTCACACAGACTCGCTTTTCTCTTCTTTCTCTTTGAGTCTCTTAACTCGCTTTCTTTCCTCTTTCTCAAACTTTCTCATTTCTCTTCTTGGGCAAGGCAGGTACTCCGCCGCAGTGAAGCCCTAGCGAACGATGCAATCTCGTGCAGTCGCCACATCCGTAACAACGAAACCTCTAACTCGTGGGGAGGTAGGACTTCACGAATCGTGAATGGACCTAACCAGCTTGGCAATCTAGCCGGCCACATACTCAACTCACCCACAGAATCGATGCTGGTGGTTATTTAATAAATCTTTCTCTCTCTGTGGAATCAGGTATCGTACTTTCAGTGTGCACACCCCCTAACTAGAATTCCAAGCCCGGCGGGCAGTCTTCAACCTAGTAACGCAGGAATATTGACCTTGTTACTTCTAAATATCTGTCAATTCGCAATGTCCGATTCTTTCCTTTCTCAAACTTTCTTTCTTTCGTTTTTCTTCCGAAAGGACATAGTCCTAAAGGTCCTCCAAAATACTATTTTCCTCACAATAGATAGTATAGATATATCTCATGCAAATTCTTTCTCATGCAATAAACTCTTCTTATGCAAACTCATACACAAATATTCTCAATCAACTTCTCTTTCTCACAACTTTGGAAATCAAATATCATGCAACTTCTCATTATCTGTAAACCATGCAAATATGCACTGCTCAAGTCAAATTTCTCTAAAACTTATCAAAACTTCTCAATAAATATAACAAGTATTTAGGCATGCTTCTCAACAATTTCTAACAAGTATTGATCATGCTTCTCAACTCAAAAACATACTCAGATGCTTTATTTACACTCACTGGAATGGTCCACAGGCAACAACATCATTAACAGAGAACTCAATTCTCACATTTTCAACTATAAATCATGCTTTACAACTCCAAATTCAACGAAATTAACTTCTACTAGTGCGTTGTAACGAGCCCGAGTGTCTGAGCCTCAAGCGCCCACGAGTCCCGGTCCGAACAACGCTAGCTAAGCCACAAAGGGCCCGGCCAGAACTGAAAATGGCCTGGCGGAGCATGGTGACGGGGCTTGGGAAGCCCCGCCAAGCCAGGTGCTTGGCAACGGACCATGCCATGGTCCGTTGCCATGGTCCGCCTGTGACACCCTGTATTTTCCTAAAATTAATTATAGTCCAGGTATTAAATATTTTTATTAAAAATATTTATATAGTTATCTATTTTAAATCGGGCTCGGGTCTATGTAGTATTGTGAATCAATATTTTTATACCCAAATGCCTTAAGCCAAAAATATAATTGTAAGAGTCTTGAACCCAATTAGCTAAGCCCATGAGCATATATATGTTACTATTTTGTATACCCAAGTTTATAAGGTGTATATGGTTCTTGACTCAAAAGTTTTACCCAACCCAATTACCTAAGCCCAACCTAGTAATTTTAACCCTATATTTTGGATGAATGTTTGTGATAAGCCTTCCCTTTTTCCCTTCTCCTCATTTCGGCAATAGCAACACAGAACATCACTACCCTAACCCCTTGTCTTGCTTGGTTACCTCTGACATCTCTATCACCCTCCTTCTCCTAGACCAAAAAATCCCCTTGCTTATCCCACGCCTCTTCCTCAAGCCATAGGAGATCAGCGGCAGTTTCCTCTTCTTCCGATAGGATCAGTGAACGGCAAGGCAGGAAGAAGCCAAGGTGGCCATGGCGAGCTATCAGCGCCCTCTCCATCGGAGCAACAGCGTGGTGGTGGTGGTCCAACGTCAAGCAGCCTCCTTTTTCACCTCGTCTTTGGCAGCAGCGCGAGAACAGAGCAGGAGCTCATGGTGGCGTCTTCTTCCCGGGGCCAGTGAGAGGTAACGAAGCTCGGGTCTCCGGGAACCCCTTGGCAACAACCTTGAAGCTGATCAACGCGGGAAGGTGTCGACGGCAACAACGGACGGAGCTACTCGGCGTCTGCCTTCATCTTCTCAACGTCAGCAGTACCTCCGGTGAGCAGTGGAGCTCCGACAACCTTGGACGGCGTAGCCCAACTCCGGCTGTGGTAGTGAGGCAGCGGGCGGATGGACGGGTGGAGAGCTTGCCGTGGCACCACCTGCGGGTTCGGTCGCATGAAGAAACGAAGAAGAAGATGGCAGTTAGTGAGCTCCTTCTTTGTTTTGTTGTTAGGTTTAGTGTTTAATTAGTTTTTATGTTAATTTATTACCAAGTGGTTAGCTTAGTGTGATGGTAAAAAAGGTGTTTGGTGTTAGTAATAGCTAGGGTTTGAATCTCACCTTAGTTTTTAGTTAATAGTTTTATTAGGGAGCATGGTTATTAGCTTATTTAGTCCTTTAATGTGTGATTAGGTTAACAAATGAATACCTAGCCTAGATGGTTAAATTTATGGTTAATTTAAGGTAAAACTAAGGTTCAATTCCCCTTATGAGCATAATTAGTTTTGTTTAGTACTTGTGTTAATAGTTGAGATCCGGTTTAATCCACAGGTTTCCGGTAGCTTGGTTTTTGTGTTGAGCCTAGCTATGTTGGCGTTGGTTTTGGTTGGATAAGCAAATGAGGTAACCCATGCTTTACAAAATCTATTTTCCTTACCTATGTGATGATTTATTGGATTCTACATGTGATTTTGCTATGAAATGTGAGTGTTGATGCATTGTCTTGTGAAAATGCATATCTAGAGCTTGTTATTAGGGTTCTTGTATGCCATTGTTTGGCTATTCCTTTGATTCAAGTCATTTTGTTGTATTTGGTGAGATTTTGGATGTTTTGGACTTGAATTTGAGCTTGGTGTTGAAAATCCCCGAAGGGATGTTTTGGTAGGGGTCTACCCGCCGCACCACCCGCGGGGTACGTTGGTGTGTGGGAATGGTTCCCGCGGGCGGAACCACGGGTGGGGGTTCACCCGTGACCCCACCCGCGGGGTACAATGTTGGCTTATGCGGGGATTTGTTCCCCGTGATTCTTTTGACTCGGTATTTGGTGTTTTGACTCCCCGATTGTTTTTTTGTGGAACTATTTGAGTGTCTTCTTGATGTTTCATATGTTTAGAACTATAGGGTAGGATTCCATGTAGGTTTTGGTGTCTTGAATCGTGCTAAGTGTTCAACCTTGTGATTCGTTGAACCGTGATGAGTCTTGTGTGTTCTTCGAAACTATGTTTGGTTTACCCGTTTGATAAGCATGTTAGTTCTATGTTTAAATGCTAGCGTGTGTGGTTTGTCCTTTTCTATTGTGGATGACGACTTGTGTTAATCATCGTTGTTGTCGGATTGTGATCCTTTCCTTGTTGAGTATGGTTTCATATCTTCGTTGTGATCCGTTGATTGATTCCTATGATGGTGTTGTGTGTGTGACTGTACCTGGATTGCACGATTAATGGTATGGGACATTAGTCACCAAGGTACGGCAGTGGTCCTCGTGGTGGCCATGACGTGATTATGGAGTTTGTGACCTGTGTGATGGGTTCACGTATTTCTTGGGAGGCATGTGTTGCCATGTGTGTGATCGGTACCCTCGTGTACTATGAATTGGTGGAAATTGTTGGTGGTTTGTTGGTGGATGGGGACGGCGGTCCTCGGAGGAATAAGTTTGGACTTGTATGTACAAGGGTCCTGGAGGTAAAGGTTGGAACTAGATACAAGGTTGGGGGTAGCCATAAGGTTGGAACCGGGCATAAGGAAGGATTATTGATTCGTGATGAGTGATGTCACGAAGGCATGTGTGCCGTTGTGTGTTTCTCTATTCGTGACGTGTGATGTCACGAAGGCATGTGTTGCCATTCTGTGTCTCTTATTCTCTTGTATTGAGCATGTCGGGTGATATTCTACTGAGTGATAGTAGAATACACCTTGAGCCTTTCTTGTGTTATCGTTGTCACTTCTTGATGTGTCTTGGGATGTGTTCCCCCTTATTCTTATTGAGAGTGGTATAGAGTCTTGTGGTTGACTTCTATCCTTGGCTTTGAACTTATATATATAGTATCCCGTTTTAAAAATAATTTTGTATATACTATCTATGTATGATACTTAACATGTATTGGTGGGTTACCAGCATTATTCGCTGACCGGGCGTCGTCCCATTTATTTATGTGCTTTTCAGGTCCCGAGTAGTTGCGAGCACGATCTAGGGATGGATAGTGTAGATCCCTCAGACTTTATTAGCTTTGTTTTGGGCCTGTGAGCCTTTTATGTCAAACAGTAGATTGTTGTTGTTTTAACCTTGTTCCTTGTTAGACTGATTATGTGGATGTTGTTCTCGTCTGTGCGTTCACCTTAGCGTGGACGTGGCATAACATTCCTCGTTTTCCAGTTTATATAGTTAGATTTCCGTTGTGTATGCTTATATTGTGGTTAGATTATTTGCATATTTAAGTTTAAATTGGCATGGAAATCGGGGGTGTTACACCGCCTCTCAACGAGGCTGCCCAACGGACCTTGCCAGGGTCCGTTGGGTGATCTGGTGCACCATCTATGTGCACCAGACACCTTCTTCTTCACCTACAACACAAAATCAGTGCAAACCAACTCATTTAGACCACAACAAATCAATCATAGATCATCTACAACACACAAATAGCTTAACCACAACATCTATCTTGTGACACCCCGTAAATCCAAATTCTATTTAAGGATTAATTAAGTAATTAATCCTAGCTTAATTGATAATTTAATTTCTAAAATCCTGAAAATTCAATAGTCGGGGACTAGTAATTGACTAGTCAACCCAAGTCAATGAGTTGTACTCTAAGCTTTGTGAATAGTTCTCTTGTTCCCTTGCACTTTTCCATCTTAGTAAGGGTAATGAAGACATTTCACTTCATGATTTTATTCCAAGCTAACCTAGAGTTGCCTTTCATTCTTTCCCTTACACTCTCAAAACAAAAGCTCCTCCTCTCTAGAAATTTAGCTAGCTTCTCCTTCAAGCTAAGTTTGGGCATTCCAAGATCTTCCAAGTTTGTCTCCAAGATTCCACCTTTCCTACTCTTGAGCATCTAGGAGGGTAAGATCTATGGTCCTTTTGTGTTTTTAGTGCTTTCTAAGGTATCTTTTTCTAAAGATGAAATCTTTATGGTCTTTTAGTGTGTTCTTGAAGTTGGGGTTGAAGGTGAGCCTTGTTAGGAGCTTGAAAAGGTGTATTAAGTGAAGGTTTTGTCTACAAGAGGTAACCCATGCTTTACAAAATCTATTTTACTTACATATATGATGATTTCTTGGATTCTACATATGATTTTGTGTTGGTCCCGATAGGGTGGTAGAAAGTCTAGAGGGAGGGGGGTGAATAGACTTTCTAAGCCTTTTCAAAATTAAATAACTCTTTGGTAACTTCAACTCTAAGTAACAAGTAAATAGAGAAGTGCTTAACTTGAACTGCACAGCGGAATAAATATGTGTAAAGAGTTATGCCCAATCAATAAATTTACAGGCACATGTAAGATAAGCTCAGATGATATGAATATCTTGAATATTTAAAGGAGATGGTGCACTCAATATTTAACAATAATATTCAAGATTATAAATAATATTTCGTGTCACGTCAACCGTATGATAAATGTCACATGCAATACGTCAAACTTGCTTAGAATAATTCAAATGTTAAGTAGGGAAAGTTTGAGTTACATGCATACGTGAAAACACACTAAACCCGAAAGATTAAGATAGACAGTGAATAGTAAACGGGTTAGTCGGATGATAAATAAATAAAGCGAATTATGTAAGTGCGGTATGTAAATGAGAGAGGCAATTTATAGTGGTTCGGAAGTGGCGTAATCTTCCTAGTCCACTTTACTCCATTCACTTCTAGGAGTAATTCACTATTTTCCACACACAGTTACAATAGTGAATAAGCGCTACACAAGCACTTCTTCCGGATGTCTTGCACACAGCTACACCCAACTCTGAGTGTCTCGCACATAGCTACACTCAACTACGAGTATTTCGCACACAGCTATACTCAACGCCAACTAAGTGTCTTGCATACAGCTACACTTAGCAACTACGAGTGTTTTGCACACAGCTACACTTACTAGAGTATTTTGCACACAGCTATACTCTTTTTACAATTACAAATACAAATGTAATTGTATCTTTCTCCAACTAATTTTGAGACTATTCAGACTAAGTCTCTCTTCTAGATATTTCAATGAATATTTGAGCACTTGTATTTCTAGAATTCGCACTTGTTCATCCGTGTCTTCCTCTTGTCTTCAAGTCTTCATGGCCTTTTATAGGAAATCAAATATATCCGTTGGAGTGGGATAATTTGATATTTGAATTTTGAATCTTGTAGCCTGATATTGTTGACAATGGTAGGTCTTCAATTTGATTTGATTGTCAAATTGCCTGACAAGATAATATTTTATTTCAACTTGATTTTCAAGTTGTTTCTAAAATATTATTTTTCTTGTCTATTTTGAATTTCCAACGTCTCTTTGCAATAAGTCCTTCTGATAGAATTTATTTCTAGGATAAGATCTTTTATCCACGCCTTCATAAATTTTTCACCGTTCTGATCATATCTTAAGGCAATTTGGATTCTTGTGACATGTGAGATGAACCAACATAAATTCTTTCGAATTTATCTATTTTCTGATCATCTTGCTTCTTTGTCACATTTTGCTCCTTAAAGGATACATTGTGCTCCTTTGGATACATCTTGCTTGTTTGACTTCGGCACTTCTTGCTTGTTTGACTTGATACATCGTGCTTTTCTGATTAAGCTACATTGTGCTCCTTAAGGCACATCGTGCTTTTCTGAAACATTGTGCTTCTTTGGAACATTGTGCTTGTAGACATCTTGCTCTTTTAAGACATCGTACTCCTTGGGCACATCTTGCTTGTCCGAACCCTTGACTTGTAAAAAATAAGTCCTTAGGGGGGAATCAATCTTGGGTGTGATCGTTGTGAGTAAGGACTTCTACTATTTCGACGTTAGGCTCATCTAGTTATTTGTTGCAACTCCATTCCTTAATGCTTCTTTCCGGATGAATACTTGTAGGACCAAAATTAATTGACCAAATTAATTTTGTTCTTCACGTGGTAGATTTCCTTTGACTCGATATTCTGGATTATGATGCTTATACTAAAGACCTAAATTCTAAGGGGATCTAAATTACATTTGGCTCATCAAAACTTTATTACAAAAAATATTCATATCAATTTTCCCTCTTTTTGATGACGCTAAAACCTATACTCAGCCATTTGGCTTGTCTTTAAAAAATATTTTTCAAAGGATTTTATTTATCTTGACATAGCCATGATGAGTTTGACAATTGATTTTGACTCTAGGAAAGGTATTTTTAGCAACAAAATTCCTATTCGCATTTTTGGATTTTTAATGTTAATGAATTTTGTAACTTTTCCAATTATGCGATTTTTACAAGCTAAGCTAAAAATGTTACCTTTCAAGACAAATTAAAATAACACTAGATAAAATACTTAAAAGCATCATAATCAGATAAACAAGATCATTGCAAATTGTTTATGGTCATACTCCAAGTTCGTAGACCAAACAAAAAATATAGTGACATCAATCATACAAATCATTTGATTATTCTACTTCT